ACTGCCCTCCCGGGCGACAGCAGAGAGCTGGACTGCAAGAGGAGCAACCGGGGCTAGAACCGAACACCCATATGGGATGCTGGCACCGCAGGCGGAGCATTAACTAAGTGAGCCACGGCGCTGACCCCTGATTTTGTTGATTTTATTTACTGTTTTCTATTTTGTATTTCATTTATTTCTACCCTAACCTTATTTCCTTCCTTCTGTTACTTTGTGTTTAGTGTTCTTTTGTTTAGTACTTAAGATTTTTTGTTTAAGGTTTATTTATTTATTGGAGAGACTGTATTCTGCTTCTTTCCTGGGGGCATTAGCAGGGAGGTAGATCAGAAGTGGAGCAGCTGGGACTTGAACAGATGTTCTCAAGGGATGCTGGTGTCACAGGTGGCAGTTTAACCCTCTGCACCACAATGCTGGACCCATTCCTTAAGTTCTAAAGTTACAGGATGTGAATTTTAGATCTTTTAGATACAGGTGCTGACAGATAATCCTTTTGAGCACTGCTTTTATTGCATCTCCTATGTTTTGGTGTGTGTGTGTCTTCATTTTCATTCTGCTTGGTGTTTTCTAATTTTACTTGGGTTTTCATTTTTCACTCATGGGTAGTTTAAGCGTTTTTTTGTTAATTTCCATATGTTGATGGATTTTACAATTTTTTCTGTTATTGATTCAAATTTCATTCCATTGTGGTTGTTTATGTGGCAAAACATTTCATGTCCCTGGCTTTCCTTCTGAGCTTTCGCATTAGTCTACATTTTCAGTCCAGCTTCTATCCATTGCTCAGATAGCAACAACTAAAACTAAGTTCATTGTCGACGGATATTCTCTAGTATTGATTGTCACTCTTTGATCCTGTCTTTGAAGGAACCACTACAAAGGTTATCTGTTGCACTGAGGTTTTGCTCTTTTCCTGTTGGAACAGATCCTGAGAATGTGGGCTGTGATTTTTCAAGGCTGTCACTGGCCGAGGCATGGGGATGGGACTAAGATGAGATATAAACATCACAGAACTTGCTGTTGTGACTGATATTCAGCCATTTTTCTTGAAAAATGTTCCCATGATTGCTGCAGGCTTTGATTACTTCCCAGAGTTCCAAAAATGTTGAGTCTGCAACTTTTGCCAATTACTTTTATTTGCTTTATGACATGGTACTCTTGTGAAGTCTCGTAGTCCAGCATTTTAGCTGCTGTTCCTTCTGATTTCTTTTGATAGCTGAAACACTGTTAGTTTCTTAGATAAATCCAAGCTATTTCACATGTTAAAATGCATGTCTTCCAAAACAAGAAGTTTCTCCAGAAAGTTAACAGCAACGTAGATTTAAAAATAATACCAAAACAAAGCAAATACCCAGGGTCCTTGAGATCTGTCATAATTCATTCAGCTTTGTGCTGAAGGTGATTTCCTGGCATTGACCCTGGAAAGCAGGAAAACATTCCTGGTCTTGTCTTGCTTAGATTCCAAAGCTCTGTTGTGAACAAAGACCTGATCCCACGCACATAACATTTGAAAAAACTAAACTGACAAACAGCTTTAATTTATTTCAATACCTCATTAGATCCAGAAGGTCTGCTATTAACCCCAGTTGTGTTATCAAAAGGGAAGCCCTTTCTGTGAGAAACTGTATACTTCACATTCAGTCACTTTTATAAAAGATTAACATTCAGTCATATCTGTAGAAAATTGTGAAGATGCATGAAAATATATCCATTATTAAGAAAAAAGTCATTAGAAATGGGTATCAAATGTCAAATATAGCAACAATTTTTAAATTACCATTTTAAGTAGTAGTGATATTTTAATTAATATAAATATATAATATATATAATATAAATATAAAAATAAATATAATGGAAATTAGTGACAAGATAGACAAGATTGAGGAATGGAGACTGCAAATAAAAACCTATGTCCAAATTAATTCTATAACTGAAGAATAAAGTTTCTAAATTACATAATTCATTGCATAGAAGACTAGACACAGTAGAGGAGAGCATTAGTGTACTTAAGTGAGTAGAAATTTTTTAAACAGAACACAGGGATTGGGAGTGATATTTACTAGGAAAGGGACACCTGGGAACTCACTGAGGTGCTGAGGATGTTTTATGTTTTGTATGGTTGGTGGTTCTATGATTTTATATATATATATATATATATATATATATATGTACACAAACGTCATGTATTATATACATCTGTGGATTGTACTGCATGCAGATTATACCTCAATAAAGTACTGAACAAAATAACAGCCATGTGAATCCAAGGATGGTATAATCTGTGCAGCTGGGCAAGTGATTACCAAACTGATACCTGCATAAGAATCTTATGGGCAGCTTGATACAATATCATTAATAGCTCAGAATTCTGCATGATTAAGTAAATACCACAGGTGATTCTGTGGAAGATGGTTTTTGCCTCAGGCTTTGAAAACAAAAGGTGTGTGTGGTGTGGTGTAGGTGAGTTGCGAGATTAAGGAGAAGTTATTTGTGAGACTTTTCTTTTATGTGTATCAGAGTAAAGAGCAGGTTAGTATTTTTGTTACTTTTAGGATAGGAGATATGCGTACTACGGGTTGTTGTACTTGTGCTCCTAAGGGGAAATCACATTGAGAAAGGGAACAGATAGTAATAAAAAGACAAAAGGCGAAGAGAGGTATATTAAGGTGAGACAGAATTGAATGAGCAGTGTATTTGAAGAGAACATTGGTGTAAATAAATATGATTTAAAATAGGTCACTGTATAGTATGAGAGAAGGGTGTTGAGGAAGTTAACTTTTTTCTTTTTTAAAGATTTATTTATTTATTTGAAATACAGAATTACAGAGGGGCAGAGGCAGTAAGAGAGAAAGGGAGGGAGAGAAAGAGAGAGGGAGAGGGAGGGAGTGGGAGGGAGAGAGAGATCTTCCATCTGCTGGTTCACTCCTCAGATGGCTCAACGGGCAATGGCAAGAGCTGTGCTGATCTGAAACCAGGAGCCAGGAGCTTCCTCTGGGTATCCCATGCAGGTGCGGGGTCCCAAGGACCTGGGCCGTCCTATACTGCTTTCCCAGGCCATAGCAGAGAGCTGGATTGGAAGAGGAGCAGCTGGGATTTGAACTGGCACCCATGTGGGATGCCAGCACTGTAGGCGGCAGCTTTACCTGCTATGCCACAGCACTGGCTCTGGGGAGTTAACTTCTAATAATTTCATTTTTCTCTGTGAAAGGCTGTTTGCATAGGGGAACTGGATAGGGATAAGACATACTGTTCTTCAAGCTGGCAGGGATGAAGAGAAGGAGCTGACAGACGATATACCAGGGTTTAACTGAGCTTAGAGGTCAGACATTTGAGGTCAGACCAGTTCCTTTGATTGTGTAGGGATCAAGGTAAGCATAATGGAAAATGAAAATGACTTGTGTGTTAGTATATTTTCTATTATAACTGAATGACACAGACCAAATAATTTATAAAAAATGAAGTTTTATTTTGTCTCATAGTTTGGAAGGCTGGAAAGTTCAAGATTACACAGCCAGCACCAGTAAGGTCTTTGTTGGTAGAAGTAAGGCAGAATATCCTACTTTGTCTCCTCTACTTATCTAGTCACAGTCCCATTGGATTGGGCCCTACCCTAATGCCCTCATGTAATCTTTTTTTTTTTTTTAAGATTTATTTATTTACTTATTTGAAAGTCAGAGTTACACAGAGAGGAGGAGAGGCAGAGAGGGAGGGAGGGAGGGAGGGAGGGAGGGAGAGAGAGAGAGAGAGAGAGAGGTCTTCCATCTAATGATTCACTCCCCAACTGGCTGCAATGGCTGGATCTGCGCCGATCCAAAGCCAGGAGCCAGGAGCTTCTTCCGGGTCTTCCACGTGGGTGCAGGGGCCCAATGACTTGAGCCATCTTCTACTGCTTTCCCAGGCCATCGCAGAGAGCTGGATCAGAAGCGGAGGAGCCGGGACTCAAACTGGCGCCCATAAGGAATGCTGGCGCTGCAGGTGGCAGCTTTACCCGCTACTCCACAGTGCTAGCCCCTCCCCATGTAATCTTAATTATTCCCACAGGTCTCATTTCAAATACTTCAGATTAAGTTTCTACCCTCTTAACACTTCACAACATGCATTTGATTTCAACATGAGTTTGGTGGGAATATTAAAGACATAGCAACTTGTATGATAGCATGTATTACTTGTTTAAAAAATAGTAAGATCATTTTAATGGTATTAATTAGATTATTTTGTTGTTGATCTATGAATAAATGAATTTATACAAGTAACTTCTAGATTTTAGTTTAAGTGCTTTGTGTTTTTAAAATCTTTAGAAGCAGAGAATGCCAAATATATAAAAATTATATATCTTAAAATTTGTATACCGATATAGCTATAATACTGTGATTGCACAGGTATTAATGTAGTCCAAAAAGCCATAAGATTGAGTAGTTTCAGATTTTATTTTATTCTTTGTACAAAGATATTTGTTCTTCCAAGAATTACATCTTTGAATGCATATCTAGCTACTTAATTTTAGAAATTTTGTTTTCTAATAGGAAATGTTCTATTTTTCTCAAAATTTTATTTAAACATGTGTCAAACTCATTAAAAGTTTTAATTGTCTAGGAAAAAGCAATATACCTTAGCCAATTAAAATTAAATATTTTCATGTCACCTAATGACTTTAACAAATAGATTTAATATATACCAATTAAAATCATTGAAGTAGCACTTAATTTTTCATTTTTAACTTTTAATTTCATCATTCAACTTCATTATTTAATTTTAGTTTCATTATTTCACCATCAGCATTCACTTACATGTTTTTCAATGTAATTGTTACTTGTGTTTTACATCTGATATCCTAGTTGGTATTTCAGCTATGTTTTCCTTGTAAAATCTTGCTTTGAAAAGCGATTATTTTGGATCATTTTGTCTGGTTCATACTTCTGTAGTATAGTAAACTAAGTAACCCTCCACAGCCCATAAGCCCATTATACTTCCTCTGTGATTGACTTTTCTCCCTTTTACATACATAGGAAATGCTCAGAACTTTTTTACGTTTTCCAAACGCAACTGGCTCTGAAATTGCTCCAGTGTCTGAGAGTCACGAATGCTCCTCATTTCTATGGCCTGCCTTCCCTTGAGCGCACATTACGAGGGATGGCTCAACTCACAGCGTTTCCAGGGTGGAGCTCACATTCTCCCCTTACAAAGCCCCTTGAAATTTGTGTGAAGTACTTGTCAGGTCTCCTGGAGGTAAGTAAAAATAACTCCACAAATAATAGCTATTGCCTATTTATTGGTCACTTTTACTGTGTGCCAGACCCAAATGTGCTATATATTTTATCTTTAATGTAAATTATTATACAGTATTTATATAACTCACAATGTAAAAATGTTATAATGGCTCTACTAATAAATATGTAAGATTACTTTTATGATTTTTTCTATTTGAGAAGAAGTTTTACTATTAGCTCTCATAATACAGCTCTTTGAGGACAGAGGTTTTGCATGGGAAGTTAGTGCATAGTGACTCTTGTTGTTAATTTAACAATTAACAATCTTATTTATGATGTCAGTGATCACCTGAGTTTCTTGACATCAGCTTCCAAGGCTATGTAATCCTTTGAATACATAAACTCTGTCAGTATTTAGACAAAGCCATAAGCAAAGTGGAAATTCTTTCCTCCCTTCAGAGAAAAGTACCTCCTTTGATGACCACATCTTTCCAATGGGGTCTCACAAACAGAGGTCCTTCATGTAGAACACTTTTTGGCCCTGTGTCTTGATTTTGCATGCCTGAAATGTTCTCATGGGCGTTTCAGACAAACCAGAATGCCTTAAGGGCTGATTCTGAAGTCAGAGTGCTACTTAAAGTGATTGTCATTCTGTGAATCTGCTATATGGACAACTTCCCATGTTGAAGCGTTCACTCCATTTTAATTCTATCTATTATTATTACCAAACACTTAATCCTATTTATATGATCACCTAAGCACATTTTATTGGTATCGCATTGAATCTGTAAATTGTTATTGGATGTATGATATTGATTCTTTTTGATATTGATTCTTCAAATCTATGAACATGGAAGATTTTTCCATTTTTTAGTGTCTTTTTCTATTTCTACTTTAGTGTTTTGTAATTCTCATTGTAGAGATCTTTGACATTCTTGGTTAAATTTATTTCAAGGTATTTGATTTTTTTTTTTTGTAGCTGTTGTTAGTGGGATTGATCTTAGAAGTTCTTTCTCAGCAGTGGCAGTGACTGTGTATACAAAGGCTGTTAATTTTTGTGTATTCATTTTATATCCTGCTACTTTACCAAACTCTTCTGAATTCCAGTAGTCTTTTGGTGAAGTCTTCTGGATCTCCTGTATATAGAATTATTTCATCTGCAGATAGTGGTAGTTTGAATTCCTCTTTCCCAATTTGTATCCCTTTGATTTCTTTTCCTTGCCCTCTGGCTTCTGCTAAAACTTCCAGGACTATATTGAATACCAGTGGTGAGAGTGGGCTTCCCTGTCTGGTTCCAGATCTCAGTGGATATTCTTCCAGCTTTTCCCCAATCAATAGGACACTGGCCCTGAGTTGTCATAAATTGCCTTCATTGTGTTGAGGAATGTTCCTTCTATATCCAATTTGCTTAGAATTTTCATCATGAAAAGATGTTGTATTTTATCAAGTGCTTTCTCTGCATCTTTTGAGATAATCATGTGGTTTTTTTGTTTTTCAGTTTTTTAATGTAATGCATCATGTTAATTTATGAATGTTGAACCATCCCTGCATACTAGAGATATATCCCAATTGGTCCAGGTGAATGATCTTTCTGATATGTTGTTGGATTCCATTGGCTAGTATTTTATTGAGAATTTTTGCGTCTGTGTTCATCAGGAAAATTGGTCTTTAGTTCTTTCTCTGTTGCATCTTTTCCAGGTTTACGAATTAAAGTGATGCTGGCTTCATAGAAAGAATTTGGGAGGATTGCCTCCTTTTCAGTTGTTTTGAAAGCTTGAGAAGAATTGGAGTTAGTTTTTCTTTAAATGTCTGGTAGAATTCAGCAATGAAGCCATCTGGTCCTCGGCTTATCTTTCTTTGGAGGGTCTTTATTCCTGATTCAATTTATGTCTCAGTTATGGGTCTGTTTAGGTTTTTTATGTTTTCATGGTTCAATTTAGGTAGGTTGTATGTGTCCAGGAATCTATACTTTTTCTTCTAGTTTTCCCAGTTTGTTGGCATACAGCTCCTTGTAGTGATTTCCAATATTTGTTTTATTTCTGTGCTGTCTTTGTTAGATTTCCTTTTTCATCTCTAATTTTATTAATTTGGGTCTTCTCCCTCATTTTTGGTTCGTTGAGCCAATGTGTGTCAATTTTGTTTTACATTTTTCAAAAATAAGCTCTTCATTTTGCTGATCTTCTGTATTTTGTTTTTTTTGTTTCAATTTTGTTGATTTCTTCTCTAATTTTAATTATTTCTTTTCTCCTACTAGATTTGGGTTTGGTTTGCTGTTGTTTTTCTTGGTCCTGAAATGCATTGATAGTTCATTTATTTGGTGCCTTTCCCATTTCTTGATGTAGGCACCAATTGTTGTAAAGTTTCCTCTTAATACTGCTTTTGCTGTATCCCATAAGTTTTGATTTTTGTGTAGCCATCTTCATTTGTTTCCAGAAATTTTTTGATTTCTTCTGTGACCCACTCTTGATTCAGGAGCATGTTATTAAGTCTCCATGTGTTTACATATGTTCTAGAGATTCCTGAGTTGTTGTCGATTAACTCTGTTGTTTCCTTGTTGATTTTCTGCCTGATTGATCTGTCTGTTGCTGAAAGTGGGATATTGAAGTCCCCCTTACTATTGTATTTGGGTCTGTGTTTCCCTTTAGATCCCTTAACATTTCTTTTATTTATTTATTTATTTTTTAATTGTTTGACAGATAGAGTTAGTGAGAGAGAGAGATACAGTGGCCATTTGGTTCACCCCCCAAATGGCCGCCATGGCCGGAACTACGCCGATCCGAAGCCAGGAGCCAGGTGCTTCTTCCTGGTCTCCCATGTGGGTGCAGGAGCTCAAACATTTGGGCCATCCTCCACTGCCTTCCCGGGCCACAGCAGAAAGCTGGACTGGAAAAGGAGCAACTGGGACTAGAACCCGGCACCCGTTTGGGATGCCGGCGCCTCAGGCGGAGGATTAAGCAAGTGAGCCATGGTGCTGGCCAACATTTCTTTTAAATAGCCAGATACCCTGTAATTAGTTTCATACATGTGTATAATAATCCTGTCTTTCTGTTGAATTGATCCCTTAGTCATTCCATAGTGCCCTTCTTTGTCTTTTTTAACAGTTTTTGTGTTAAAGTCTATTTTATCTGATATTAGGATGGCTCCACCAGCTCTTTTTTGGTTTCTGTTGGAGTAGAATATCTTTTTCCATCCTTTCACTTTTTTTTTATGGTAAAAAAACGTATATTTAGAATTAGCCAGCTGGACTCCGTTCAGATGATCCCAATTTTGTTGGCAGCGTCCAGAGCATCATAGTCAGGAGCCAGCACACACACGCCTTCTTCTCTCCGTCAGGGCTGATCAGGGTGTTGACTTTGGCCACATCAATGTCATAGAGTTTCTTCACAGCTTGTTTGATCTGGTGCTTGTTGGCCTTGACATCCACAATGAACACCAGTGTGTTGTTGTCTTCTGTCTTCTTCATGGCCGACTCCGTGGTCAGGGGGAACTTGATGATGGCATAGTGGTCAAGCTTGTTTCTCCTGGGGGCGCTCTTCGGAGGGTATTTGGGCTGCTGTCGGAGGCGTAGTGTCTTGGGCCGCGGGAAGGTGGGGGACGTGCAGATCTTCTTCTTTTTGTGACTGTGGACGCCTTTCAGCACTGCCTTCTTGGCCTTCAAGGCCTTCACTTTGGCTTCGACTTTAGGAGGGGCAGGAGCTTCCTTCTTCGCCTTCGGCGCCATCTTGGTGAAAAGCCATCCTTTCACTTTCAGTCTGCTTGCATCTTTGTTGGTGTGATGTGTTGTAGGCAGCAGATTTTGTTTTTTAATTCTTCAGCCAGTCTGTGTCTTTTAACTGGAGTGTTGAGGCCATTCAAGGTGACTATTAATAAGTAACGAGTTTTCCCTGCCATTTTTACATAAATATTCTTATTTTTTACTTTGGATTTCCTTTGTATTTTTACTGGGAGATTTTCTGCCTTCACCTTTTGTGTGATGACCACGTTTCTGTGTTTCTCTGAATAGCACATCTTTAAGCATCTTTTGTAGGGCTGGACGGGTGGTGACTTACTCTTTCTATTTCTGTTTATTGTGGAATTTCTTTATTTTAAGTTTATTCATAAATGAGAGCTTTGCATAGTGCAGTATTCTGGGTTGAGAATGTTTTTCTCTTAAGACTTGGAATATATCTCACCTGTTTTGTTTCTAACTCTTCCCTGAGACTGCACTCTCTCCACTTTTTTAAAACTATCTTCTAGGCTAGAACAGTAAACTCCCTCCCTATTATGCCATCTTAATCCAATGCCTAGACTTTCTTCTGATAGCCATACAATGTCTTGAGTTTTAAATAGGAGGTGACATGATCAGACTTGGCATGATCGTTTTCAAGTAAAACTAGGGCTTCCAATTAAGACCCTGCATTAGGGTAATTAGGGTAATTTGTTTATTCATTTTTTGTTTTACCTTTGTAATTGTGAAAGATAACACATATGCATAAAATACAAAACAATACAGAGTTCAGTAAATTATTATGTAGTGAAAGTCCATGTCATTATCCCCAGATCCGAAACTAGAACCCAGCCAGCACCTGGGAAGGATTTATCATACCTCTCCGGATCTCTACATCTTTCCAAGTATCAAATTTTTGCATTTCTTGACAGTTTTACTACTTAAGAATATATCTATCTATGCAATAATGTTTTTCAAAAATGTTGTGTAAATGAATCATATGTCCATTTTCTTTCACCACCATACTTAAGAGATTTATTCTTTTTGTTACTGGTAAATGGTGTTAGTTTAGTTTTATTATTGTATAGTATGTTTTGTTCTGCAATGCTGCAGGATGTTGGTTTTTCTTTTTCTTCCAGTTGAGGGCAGTTTTGGATACTGCTGCTATGAACACTTGTCTTTCGGTGAAAATGAGTATATTGTATGCTTTTGATGTTTTGTAACACTTATTGGTATATGGAAATATATTTTTATATATTGACCATCCACCTGGTAATCCTTGTTTTTTTGTTGTTGTTGTTTTGTTTTTTGAT